TTCCTACTCCTGCACTTCGAGCCGGAGCCCCGGTAACCCGTTAGGTTCTCCGCGACAAGCGTTTGCCCTGCAGTGGGACGACCATGTATTATAAATAAAATAAAATAAATGCTCAAACCAAGTTCGAGCACACGTCGGAAGTTCGAATAAACAGTTACAGAAAAGCCTTGCAGTTTATCAATGAGCTCACATTGTTTTAATTCCGAAATGTACCTTCTAAACAGGTGAACCTTCTGATAATATTTTTACCAGCACAATAAAGATTACTCAGATGAAACCAGCGATGATATCTGTACTATTTCCTAAGAACGTGACTCACTAAGATTGGCTAGTCACCGTATTAATTACATTTAATTAACTATTTAATCAAATGTAACATTACCTTGTTATTTATGCCACACACATTACCATTGTTTGTATTTCGGATATATTTGTAGACTGAAGTTTTAAGTTTTCTCTTATTAATTTTTGCTATAAAGCTTTTGGTATATAAAGATGTCCCTGTTCGCGTCTGTCTGAAAGTATATAAACGGGATAAATTCATTAATTACTAGAAAGATTTTTATAATTTTCACCCGTAAATGGGATTCCTGAGGAAGGTATAATTTATTACGGTTTTGGCCCACGCAGTTCACGCGCCTTCTTTCCGCCGAAAATTAGCGTCTTCTAAAGTAAAAATTGTAACAAGAATAAAATAAACTTTTCCATATTTATTGCTACTTTCTGCATAGAGAAAACTTCAAGGGCTTTCATAGGTTTATGATACAACTAACGAGAGAAATTAAGCCCAGAAAATGAGATTTAGATTTATATCCACGTCGTAAACATTTCTTCGTATTAAATAAATTACATGTTTTTATGTAGACACTTACCTATAGATAACTCGCGGTATTTATGTATGTCAGTCAGTCATCCCATAGAGTAGGTCAAAGAAAATTAAGTTCTATATTTCTGTTAGCTGGCTTCAATAAAATAAAAGTGTTACCATATTCCAACTTCATTTTACTAAACAAGAGATCGATGTGAGTTCAGATTTTAATGCAAAAGGAACATTCAAACTTCGAACAGCAAAACGAAATGCGCCAATATTAGACACAGATTTAAAAAAAACAATAGACAATAATCGGAATAGATATATTTTGATTTTTTTTTTTTAGACCACTGCAAATCAACCTACAGCCTCGTTCGTTGACTCGCAGATAGAAAGTTGTTAATTAAGAACGCGCCTGATTGGCGGGCGATTGTGTAACCGAACGCAACAGATCAAGCATGTGGCTGAACAGGGAAATACCTTTACCAAAGAAAGTAAACACGTCATTTTTCCTATTGTGCAATAGTTAGAGCACGGTTGATTGACTTATTGGTATTTAAAAGATAATAATATTTTTTACTAATAAATACTTTATGATTGGTTGGCATTGGCATAAAACCGCAATGATTTGTGGTGCTCCAATATGATTAGGATAAATCCGGTGGAAAATGCATTACGTATTTTGCAAAAAAAATGTTAATGTAATTAAATCCGTTGCGGTTCAATATGTGCCGGACAATTTACCCGAGACAAAATACAACACAATCGCAAACCCGTAAATAACTTTATCGGGTACTAAACTTGATAATTAAATCTTCTTAATAATTTGACGAGTATATTATATTAAAACGGTAATAAAACCAAATTGCTGTATTTATGGCCATAGCCGGATCGGACACAACGTCCTCGCGAAGTGGAACATTGAATCAATTGTGCAATTGCAGTTTTCACATAAATATCAATCTATTAACCCAAGAACGGTATCGCACGGGCACAATGAGATACGATTTATACACAGATATCGTGTTTCGAGGAAACAGCTTCCATTCTTGAGGTCTTAAGTAGGATCACGAGGATGCTTGATCTCGGGGTTATATTAATAAAATTGTGTCATTAGGATTGACATCTAGAAATTCTAGTTCAAGTTGCTACACATGTTATTATATTTTTTGTTCCTACACCAAATAGGTTGTCGCGGAGACCTAACGGGTTACCGGGGCTCCGGCTCAAAGTGCAGGAGTAGGAACAAGGTGGCTTTTAGTCAGTAAGAGTCTGACACTCCCACTCCGCCTCACCTAGACGGGAGAAGACATTCGATGATTTCCCTCCCCTTAAAAAAACACCAAATAAGTTACTTCTGTATTTGTGTAGCTACATGGTGCTTAGTTCGTTAACTGGTTGAAACTGACCGCGATCGGATCGATCTGAAGATATTCGGGGAATTTGTAAATCTACTACAAAACTTATAATGCACATAAAATGAAGATTGACATGTTGACAGAACAACGGACTGAATTAAACTGATGCCAATTGTTATGTTAGACAGAACGGGTTAATTATTTTGTTTTGATTTTAATTAGAATGCTGTATTGCACTGCAACATGGCAGTTGCCCGCCCCCTATAAAAGCTGCTCTGACTTACGACCAACATTAATTTTACTGCTGTTGTATCAAAAGTAGGACTCAAAACATAAGTAACGCATAATTTCACGTTGAAAAATTATTTCAAGGACTTTTATACACGGATATTGTTACAACAATAAAAATGCAAGAGAGTTTGTCATAATTTCTCATTCCTAAAATGTATCTGGCGTTGGAAACACGGTTCAAAGTATTCTCCATCACCTGTCAGCCAACTCCGCAACCACGTCAAGTATTAAAATTTATGTCGCATTGTTTAAGAGTTCAACCATCCTAAAGATTGTTGCCAAACACCTCGTTGCTTTAGTGACTCAGTTTCTAGTAAATTCTTCACAATCAATTCTATTATGAATAATTAAATATAGGTACCTATTTACAAATAAACGGCAAATATCGGATTTTTATCACCTATAACAATAAATTAAACATCTATTTATAATCATTTTTAATCAAATATTAAACATCCAGTCTATGATCACATCTGATTTTTTTTAACGACAACCCAATCTTGATTTTATGGCAAAGGTATTTACATGAACAGCCTTAATTGCGTACAGTTACGCAATCAAAAGTTACCCGCTGTTATTTGAATGTGGAATTGTTTGTGGAAGAAAAATGATTTAAAAATGGTGCCAGCGCCGTGCACTCGCCATATAGATAGGCAATTAACTCTGTTAATAGACTAGCCGGTGCTTCGCCGGATAGATTTTCTTGTGAAGAATTCCAGTTAGAAAAAAATCACGCACGCGGCGACCGTTGCGACTGGAAAGCGTAAAATGGCAAGCCTCGATCGTAAGCGCGGACATATTGTTGCCAATCAATTGTTTATTATTATGATTTATAGTGAAATTGGATACAGTAAAGTTAATTTGGTATTGTGAATGTAACACGAAGAAAACAAGGTGATTCGTGATCGTAGTCTACATTTATAAAAACAACACTTTATGTTATTGAAACTGTTCTTAATAATCTACTTACTGGCATATTTTTAATAAATGGATTTTATGATGGTTGTGATCTCATTTATTTCTTGCCAAAATTGTAGTATTGTTAAAACACAACTGTGATTTTCCTACTTCATTTAGTCCTACAGTCTATAATACTGAACGAGAATTACGCGCCATTTCGAAAAAATAAAGAAATAAACAGGCACAGATATTTATCGATCAGCCGGCCTTGTCATCTAGTCCTGCCAAAAATTCTAAATTTAAAAGTGAGTGGCATTATATCCTATTGTTAAACTTGAACTTTGCTAATAGCGGTCAGGTCATTGTATTACATTTGCATGTTAATAGGCCTGTAATGTGTTTTATTATTGCTGCTATTGTTCCGCCCAATTAGACGTGACTATGATTGAGCATCATAGCAAATATTATACAAGTCTTTGAGAATTTGAGTTTTTTTGGTGTGAAAATATTTGTCTAGAGTCAATTAATTAGCACATTAACTTACCAGCGACCTAGTGAGCGGAAGAAGAGAAATTAAAAAGTGTATTATAATCTGTATCTATCAAACAGACAACAATCAGATAGGTGCCACATACATATCTACATAATTACACTGGATCACTCTAAATTAACCTTTCATAACGACAAAAACAACAAAATAAAAGCAAAAACAATTTATCTCACGCTTTTATATAACATTGAAAACAAATTTTAAAATAAGTATAAAAGTAAAACTTTATTATAAAAATAAATACTTGTGACATGTATTATTCGCATTATAAATGCTGCCATTGGAAAAACATCTGTGACAATATTAAGTGAAGAATTCTTGAATTATACAACTCCGAGTCTGTTTTGATAACCTGTTTACCTTCCTAAGACGGCTAGACCTTGAGAAATGCCAGGACATGTTCATTCACAGACGTTCTAACATAAAAACTGACCACAAACTGTATTTAAATTCCTAGCCAGTGAACAAAACAGATCAATATGGATCGCTTTGAAAATAAATTTATCCAAAAAAACTGTCGACCTCAATCAAGGTTCAAATTAGCAAACATTATCTCTCGAGTCGTTCGTAAAAATAGGCGTGTATGATAACAGCACAGATAGCTTCATACGGCATACAAGCAATATCAATATTTAAGCAAGTATCTTTTCTGTTGCCCAATTAACAACTCGACGATTTTAGCGTTGGCAACACTATCACCACTGATAAGATATGCAGAGATTAACACAAACTTAAATTTACCGTTTGTAAAATGTTAAGGTGAACATTATCACACACATAATGAGGTAATCAACGGCAATACAAAGTTTGTATAACTCGGTAATAATAAAAATCAGAGTTATCGTTCTTACGTCTAATTACTGATAACGCAATGTTTCGTCATGTCATACAGTCTTTATCACTTCACATTCTGAACACACCGAATTTACTCTCTCTAAATGGAGCGTTCAAGGCTGCAGACAAACTAAGTCCTATCACTTTCCTTGTGTCCTTGGGAGCGATGACACCGTCGTCCCACAGTCTAGCAGTACTATAGTATGGCCGTCCTTCTCTTTCAAACATTTCTTCCAAAGGCGCTCTCACTTTTTTGTCATCCTCCGCAGTCCAAGGCTTTCCACTCCTCAGCCTTCTCCTTAGCCACCAAAGACAGTACAGTAGCCGCTTGTGGTCCACCCATTACTGAGATCCTTGCGTTGGGCCACATGTACAGAAACTGGGAGAGTATGCACGACCACACATGCCGTAGTTTCCGGCACCATAACTGCCGCCGACCAATACTGTGATCTTAGGTCCTTTAAAACAACTGACGGCTGTCACCATCTTAGCTCCATTTTTGGCAATACCTCCGGCTTCAGCGTCTTTACCGATCATGAAACCTGTTATGTTCTGTAAGAATAGCAGAGGAATCTTCCTAGCCGCACAAAGTTGAATGAAATGAGATCCTTTCAAAGCTGCCTCTGAATACAAGACACCATTATTACCGATCACTCCGACAGGGTGACCATAAATGGATGCAAAACCACATACCAATGTTTCTCCATAAAGTTGTTTGAATTCATGGAATCTACTTCCGTCAACTATCCTAGCGACCACTTCGCGCATGTCAAATGGTCTTTGAATGTTGGCTCCGACAATGCCATGAAGATCGTTTACGTCATGAATAGGTTCGTCAACTGTTGGTGTGTGAATTCGAGTTCTCTGTTCGTTATTCCAATTCAGATTGGCAACAGTATTCCTAGCTAAATGTAAGGCATGCTCATCATCCAAAGCATAGTGGTCGGTAACTCCAGATTGACGACAATGCAAATCAGCACCTCCTAATTCTTCAGCAGAACTGTTTCGCCTGTACCAGCCTTCACCAATGGTGGACCAGCTAAGAAAATTGTTCCTTGATTCTTAATTATAATACTTTCATCAGACATGCTAGGAATGTACGCGCCTCCAGCGGTACATGAGCCCATTACTACCGAGATCTGCGGTATTCCTTCCGCAGACATATTTGCTTGGTTGTAAAATATCCTTCCGAAATGTTCTCTGTCCGGGAAGACATCGGCTTGATCAGGTAAGTGCGCACCTCCGGAATCCACGAGATAAATGCACGGAAGACGACACTCCTGTGCGATCGCTTGAGCTCTCAGATGCTTCTTCACTGTCATAGGGAAATAAGTACCTCCTTTAACAGTAGCGTCATTAGCCACAATCATGCAGTCACGACCGTGAACTTTGCCAATGGCGGTGACGATGCCGGCGCTCGGCACTTGCCCTTTGTACATGTCGGCGGCGGCTAGCGTGCTCAGTTCTAAAACGTCGCTTCCCTCGTCCACCAACCGGTTAATCCTGTCCCTGACGAGCAGTTTTCCTCTTGCCGTGTGCCTCTTTACGGCCTCCTCCGGGCCGCCTTTGATGGCGTCACCGGTTTTCTGCCGTAATTCTTCGACAAGCTCGTCCATTTTGCCCTTATTCTCTTGGTAGAAAGGATCAGTTCTGTTCGGCTCGGAACCAATGACGGTAGCGTGATTGTGCCGGCATTGGTTCAACCGCCGTATCCCTCTGACTAGTTTGAGCATTTTAACGTATATTAAGTGCAGAATGAAACACGACCGGTCGGCGAGTCGCTGTCGCGCTACTGCCGATAATGTAGTACCGTTATCTATACGATTAACTTGTACAAAAACAAATTCCTCACTCGTCGACCCTCCCGCGGCACGATAAAAACTCGCATTATGTATGAAATGATAATGTGAAGCTATTGTTACTCGGTGACTATTTACGTAATATTTACATGTTGTTGAGGCGATGCGCCGAGGGTTCATTCATTCGTTCTCAGAGAAATCGTGTTAGAATATATATGACAGTAAATACTTAATATAAATAAGCGTCGTGTGTCGTGTGCTCTCCGCTTCGAGTGAATAGATACTTATTGAATGATTCAATGATCGTGTCATGACCTACTTGCAATAAGTTCATGTTGTGTGACGCTAACCTTGAGCGGGTGTTACTTATATTTATTTATTTCCTTTTCACATCTGCTAGTTATTGTGATAACTAATGGACTAATGATGACAGACTAATGTGCAATACTTTGTAGATATGGCATAATTGCTTTCGTATTTATTGCTTTAAATGCTTAATCAACATTCGACTTATTTGCCTGAACCAACTGATAGTGGTCTAATAGACACGATTTGTGAAAACAAATAGTTAAAATCATAGTAAAACATAAATTATTATGTATCCTACGTAAGTAAACAGATGTAACATTTTCTTTCAAACGTATATGGTGTAACAAGCTGTCTTATCCTCCAAACAACATGAATGGACATACAATTTATAAACATAAATATTTCTCGAAATTTCTCAACACAATTTCCAGGTTATCCGGTCATAAAAACATTTAATTTATTCATTCCTAATGATCGATAACTGTTCGTCAATTATAGCTATAGCAGCCGTCTTTGATCACATTACCTGAGCAAAAAAATTTTGCGTGTTAATTTAGGTCATGGTACTTATAATTTCAGTTATTCCACAATAAAGAAAATTCATAAATCTCACTAAATCTATAGGAATATTTGTGATCTCTTAATGTTACACCTTTCTTTCTACGAAGAGATAGCTAATTTTTCGTTACAGAAGACCCAATTTTCACCAGCCCGTGTTTTTAACCCCCCTTCAAATCCTTTAGTATATCAGATAGACTGGGTGATTGATGCTACTTTAAATAAAGTCAAAATAAATACTCTGAGTTCTGGTATGGTAGTCAAACTTGCGAATTCTTTGCCAAGAATATTCCAGAATCTTTCGGACTGTGATATTGAAATAAAAAGTTTATCAAAATCGGGGACGGACGATGGTTAAATGAAAGCGATTCATTTTGACAGAAGTTACTGTTAGTCGGAGAAAAAATCTCATCAGTAAGTACTCGAATATAATTTTATACTTCTAGGGCACTCACTGCTGGAGGCCCTGCTGCTATTAATAAGAGCATATGTAATACTTTTGAAGTGGTTTTGACACACATACTTAACCGTCACCTCTTTTGATACCCGACGGGGCGCACATAGCTGCACATATTCAAAATAACACTAACTTTTTACCAATTATAATATAATTATTACGAGTTGTGTTTACTGGGTAGAGAACCTGGAGATTTTTATACCTCGAAAAACCCTCATTACGTCTTTCTACATCTAGGAATCAAACCTAAGACCCATTGCTTGGCAGTCACATATGCAAACACTCAAACTTCTCTATAATAACAAATTCAATCCTTTGGTCACCAAATGATACCGATGGTAGGTAAAAGTAGACATTTGACTAAACCAATTTCACAAAGGAACGACCAGCGCTAAAATTAAAAAATAAAACACACACTGGCCTCATAGAAAGTCTTCTATCTTTGAAAACACTAGGAAATTGCTAAACACTTTCCGATTTACGATGCTGCTAGCAATTTATGAATTCTTCCGGCATTCGTGCTACCGCAAAAACAGCATTAAAAGACAGAAAATTACCGTGAGCAGTGAACACCGTGATAAACCTGTAGCGAGCTATCAATAAATAAGCTGGTGCGATCGGTCATCTAATCACGGAGTAAGAAAGGTACTGGGGAACAGAAGGCCTAGTTGCAGAAGAAGTTGTTCTTTAGGCAATAAAATAACTTCAGTTAGGTTACAAAACTTACAAAGGTAAGGTTCATATATGTATGGGTACTCCGTAAGTCCGTATCTATGTATGAACTGCCAAAACTATTTGACTCTCCGAAGATTGTTCTTGTATCTATTATAAGATAGGAAAAGGATAAAAAAAGGAAAAAAGGATAAAAAGCCAATGTGACATATACCAATACACACAGCGCCATCTACACCAATACTTTTGTTTTCCCTCGGGAATATCAAATTTTTCAGGGATAAAAAGTACCCTATTATTTAATCCGGACTTCTAACTTTACGTCTGCAAAATTTCAAAGCAATCGGTTTAGTAATTACGGCGTTAAAGTGGAACAAACAAACAAACTCACTTTCCGATATAATATAAGTAAGGATAAGGATAGGTACTTGTGTGCACTCTCCTCATCATCTATTTTACATCGATGGAATTTTAAAACTATTTGAATTTCATGCCCCGTATTTAGATACTGAGTTGCATAACTATTAGTTCAATTTGAAGAACATAATGAACTACCTCATCATTGTTCCAACTCGGTATTCTGACCCTTCCTATTCTACGATCTAATCGCTACCTTGCGCGCGCGCAGGTGAACGACACAATCGTTTCACTTTTCACGGCGGCCGCCAGGTGGCGACACTTTCCATCGTGACGATCTAATGGTCGTCTAGCCGCTAATCTTTCCTGACATATTACTAAGCTAAATAAGATTGAATTAGATACGGTATATAGTAGCTATATACTTTGATTTATGATCAAGATAAATATAGTGGTAATTATGGTCACTATCTGTCTTCAAGCATCTGTTATGGTAGAAAATGGTAGTTTTAGACAGTTATTAAGTTTCAAGTCAATGGACTGATGAAGCCTTGTGTAAAAACTTAGTAAGTTGTACATTTCTACTTTCAAGTTAAATTGTACTTAGAAACAGATTCATTATGTTTTTGCGCTCTGTTTAGAAATGTGTCGTCATTATTGTATGCTTAACGACTTATATGACAACACGACTACAGATGTTACGACAAATTGTGACTGAGTTGCTAACAGTCTTTATGAAGAAAGAATTTTATGAGCTCTATTAATCTGCTGTGCGTATTGCATGAAGCTGCATAATCCATAGATATTCTTCTAATGAAAGCAAACAATGGATACACTGAGCCTGTACAATAACAGACGATCATCTACAAGCAATTAAAACAGAATGACAATAACCACGAGTAGTAAAGGAAGCTGTATGTTTATTGAAAACTAGCTACTGCCCGCGACTTCGTACGCGTAATCCCATTTTTTCCCGTCCCCGTTCGTGATTTTCGGTAAAAAGTAAAAAAAATAAATGTTGGTCAAAGTATCCTATGTCGATCTCCTGGCTCTAAGCTACCTCCCTACCAATTTTCAGCCAAATCTATTCTGCCGTTCTTGAGTTATACGTGGTGTAACTAACACGACTTTCTTTTATACCTCGTCCTCTATATATAGATTATCATGTTCTAAATCTAACAGTCCGTTGTTTTGTCCTCAGGATCGTGATGAACAGACTAAACTAGAAATGAAACATCGACAAGAAGAAGACGACCTGTACAGAAAATTCTCCAAACATCGAGAGGAAGAGAACAGAAGAATACGAGACGAAATACAGGTAGGACTAAAAACCATATCCCATCAGAGATGTTTATGACGATGACGATTAATAAGATAAGATTATTTTGTATATAGCTATAGAACATTACTATCACTCGGCAAATACACTAATGTATTCAAGTTCATTAAATGTAGAACTACCATTTTGAAAGATTTTACTAGATTGGCGCGAAGTAATGAACACAACATACAATACTAGCAAGTATTTATTGACATAAAATTAATAAACAAACAACTTCTAATTACAGGATGAATGGGAACGTGAACTAGAGAGACTAACGAGCAGATTCCAACAAGAGATGCAAGTAAAGAAGAGAAGGCCGGACTCCGAGATAGGAGCCCTCACGTTACGTCACAGCAGGAGAGAGCCGACTTAGAGAAGAATATGACGCTAAGAAGGGACAAGAAGAAAGAGAGCTTGACGCGGAAGATGTTGGAACATGAGAGGTTGGTAAAAGCAATAAATTAAATGTCACACCAAATTTTTACTAACATATGTTAAAATTTAAGACTTACAGGCAGAACTCATTGCTATATGATACATACATACAGTTAGATTAGGATAATTGGTATAAATCGGAAAACTCAATAATTCTTAGCCCCGACAGAAACCTAACATTAAATCTTTACTTGACAGTCGAGCCTGCGACCACTTAATCAACGAGACTGTCTATTAACGCAAAGACTAACATTAATATAAAGTCGCAACTAAATTCTACCAAATTAATTCCAGAGCGGCAACAGCGGCTCTAGTAGAGAAACAAAGTCACGAGATGATGGAGCTGATCCAGGAGCGTCGGTCGGAGTACATGGCGGCATCATCCCTGTTCGTGGATGGTGAAGAGGCACCGCCCTACCCTGCCCGCGCCCCACCGCCTCAACCCCCGCTCGTCTCCAAGTTCCATATCTACACAGACCCCGCCGAATTCGCTGATGTTGATAAGATTGCTATTTCGGTAAGTCTATAAAGGGCTTTTATAAGTATTATATAAACTTAATCTATTTAAAAAAAATCAAACTACGTACTCCGCGAGCGCTAATGATTAAAAAATACCACTCATATTTATAATTTTCGTTCCAGGTGGCACAAGAAGACCAAAAAACCTTTACGGATCTAGTCCGACAGCTAGTAGGTAGATGCGCAAGCGACGTTGAGAAGCGAGGACCATATTCCGCTGGATCACTGTCAAAAACTTGAACAACATACAGTTTGATGACAACCTTCGGGGAGACTCACCGCTTGGATTACTCAGAGGCATTAAACATGGCACTGAAAGTTACCACGTTCTGTTTAAAAGATTGTGCAGGTACGACCTTCTAAGCTTCATATACCGTATAGTATACAGATGAAAGTAACCAGATATGTCTTCATATAAAAATTCGGAGAGATTTTAAGTTCTTCAATTTCACATGACTAGAGAACAATGATGAAAGTTTGGACTTCCTGCAAATATTTTTAAACCATTTTTTGTTTTTACTTTCAGTTATGCGGGTCTCCACTGTGTGGTGATCAAAGGCTACAGTAAATCTGCAGGCTACCAGCCAGGAGTGCGCTTCGAAGACAACAGATTCCGTAACTCTTGGAACGCGGTATTCGTGGCTGGAGCGTGGCGCTTTGTACAGTGTAATTGGGGAGCCAGGCATCTGGTCAACGCTAAGGATGCGCCGAAGCCGGGCAATAGAGGGAAGAGTGATAGCTTAAGGTATGTGGTGAAGATCCGAATGGTTAGAATTAGACGTAGTATTTCAATTTTATTGAAAGATAAACGGAAAAAAAGACAATATTGTCGGATGTGCGCGTGTCCAATAACTTGGCAATCCAATTTGGCATTCATGGTGTTTTAAAGGTGCTTATTTCTCCTCCAGATACGAATACGATGACCATTACTTCTTGACGGACCCTCGGGAGTTCATCTACGAGTTCTTCCCGCTGCAGCCTGACTGGCAGCTGCTGAAGACGCCCATCACTCTGCATGACTTTGAGGAACTGCCCTTCGTCAGGTCGCTGTTCTTCAGATATGGATTGTACTTCAGTGATCCTAATACGAAGGCTGTCATGTTTACTGATTCGACTGGTAAGTTCTTCATTTTATTCTATGGATCTACACTCCAGGTAACTCAATAATACTTTGTCCAAGACGGTTCCTAAATGTTCTTAACGTTTTTTTTGTTTTTTTTGTAATATTACAGATTAATTCTCCACTGACTCTAGGTCCGTGCCCTTGTCATACAATTTTTTTTATTATAATACATCTAGTCAATTTTAATAAAGTAAATACGGTACCTAGTTACACACTACAATTAAACACATTTATAATTATTACTAAAAGTATAAATTACATAATAATTAGGCATTATCTATTTATTTCTATTTTGAAGGCTCTATGAAATCAGCCCACCAACAAGATGGGAGGGCCGACCTGACCCAGCAGAAGGCACCCGTTCACGAGTATGACATGTGTGTCAGCAATTGGTTCTTGACGTTTCTACATTACGGTTTATTGTATTCCAGGTGCGGCGACTATGCGTATAGCCATGCCAGCACACATGCAGAGCTCGCTCATCTTCCACTACAACCTCAAGTTCTACGATACGGAGGGAGACGGCTTCGATGGCGTCAGTCTCAAGAGATTCGTCATGCAGGTATGTGCCTCTTATATATTATACGAGAAGGTGTTAACAATTCCTTAAAAGCATGAAAACTTACACACAACTTGTCAATGATATTTTATGTTCTTACTAGTTGACCCGGCAAATTTTGTACCGCCTAAAAAAATTTCCCTCTCTTTAAAACTCTCCTGGACTTCTACGAACATTTCAAAGACCGAAATTTTAGCGAGTTTTAGCGAGACTAACGAACGGAATTTCATTTTTATTTACTCCCTCCCATCAACCGTTGCCTGAAGCAGTTCTTCTATTACCTTATTGTATTCATTAATACATTATAATCTATTTTTTTATTCCTCAGTCGGTGGTCGGCAACGTGGTATCATTCCGTGTGCACGCGCCTTGCAGCGGTGCATTCCTGCTGGACATATTCGCGAACGCCGTCACACCCAGGGAATACCTTACCGGAGAACCCATGAAGTTCAAGAGCGTTTGCAAATTCAAGGTAAACAATCTTTAATATGTTGAACACTCTTTCTTTTTCATCGCGGAAGATTCGCTTTCAGAAATTAGAAGAATTTAAAAAAGAGAAACGATTTTTGCTATAACGAAAATCAAATGGAAAATGGAAAATTAAAACATCGTGCTGACAACAAGTAACTTTGGTTATTTTTTAGGGTTTCGGGAAAATTGTCCAATGACTTCTCCCGCCTTGAGTTAGGCAAGAGGGAGTGTAAGACTCTTACTGACTACAAACCACCCCGTTCCTACTCCTGCTCTTCGAACTCGAGTTACGCTTGCTAGCCTTCCGCAGGCCCATACTTACGATGGTCGGAGAACGTCGCGCGATCTCCGACGCTCGGAGTGTCTCCCGTGACGGCTGGGGCGTGAGTTGATTCGTTCCCTCACGCGCCACGCCTCCTTGGCTTGCATAAGTAACTTGGGATAAGATCAGAAAAAAGAGTATAGCAGCAGCTTACTTACTTAAAAGTTTCGGAGAAAGGGTGTCTCAATTTATATAAGTACTAGGGATATATATTGAGAAACCATTTCTCCAAAACTTTTTCCGGTTTAACCTGGCCACTAAAAATGAATGGTGTGTCTGTAGGAGTTATTTATTATTTAATTGTTATGAACAGATTACTAAAGATATACCGATTTTTACATTACAGATTTGCTGTGCAGAGCTACAAACAGTGATGGTGCCGCTCCCAGACTGCGCGAGCGGCGAGTGGGGACCCACGAAAGCTACCAGACTCTTTGGACTCGTACCTATAACGCATCAGGTAATAACCGAGTCGTTTTGTATCTAATTGAATGTTTTAGAATGCTTTGTGCTACCTCGTCAGCCGAGTGATCGCACGATCGCAGTACGACTGTCGGGCAAGGGGGCTCAGATTCGATTCCCGTGTAGGGCAAATATTGCCGGAGTTTCTATGAAAAGAAAAATCTCAGTAGTAGCACGGAGTCTATAATTGTGCCCGGTATATGGCAATAGGCTCACTACAGGCCTACTACATGGGACTCATAACATAAATAGTGAAAAGTGGGCGTAACATTATGCAGTGGCATTAAGTAGCGTAATATGCACCTCGGCCTACCCCTTCGGGATAAAAGGTGATGTTATGTTATGTTGAATGTTTTAATCACTTTTTTTCTAAGTTGTGCAGAAACAGAAACATCCCTCAAAAACACTGGAATTTGTAATGTGAGACCGACCAGTCGTTGTACAATGTCGCGGAAAAGGAACTATCAATTGTGACACAGTCTCTGCTAGTCACTTATTTTTTCGAAAATTAATTATTTCACACATAATCCGTATTTTCAGGAAGCGTTAGTGTTCGCGGGTCGTGAGCTTGAGATCCAGTTCCGCATGTCGCGCCCCCTGGCGGACTTCATGGCGACTCTGCACAAGAACGGAGTGGACGAGAAGAGGCTCTCAAAGTACGTCCAGCAAAACGTATCCGATGACATCGTCTCCTTCTATATCACATTCCCGGAAGAAGGTATGTTAAAATCTAATTATTGGGATTGTAATTAAAATGTTGTTATAGGTAATATGGCCGTTTGGAAAAATATATCCAATCGGAATTTTTGTCTGTTTGTCTGCATGTTTACGCATCACGCAAAAACTACCGGTCCGATTACGAAGAAACTTGGTAAAAATAAAAAATAAAAATAATGTATTTCATCAACTATTACTTATGAACAAAATATTAAGAAAAAACCTGTTAAACAAGAGTATGCTTGTGGTAGGCGATCTTACTATACCAAGGACATCAACTAAACATAATTTTATAAAAAGAAATAAAAAGAAAGAAAATTGTAATAGGATTTGACTTTAATATGCTTGTGCGAAAAACTACACGAAAAAACAAACTTAATTTTGCGGCTCGATCCCTAGACACAGTTACTGTACCAAACGTAAATATAAGTTTGTAGATGTTAGATTGCCCGCGTACATCGACTTTACGCTGTAACTGTAGGGCCAATGGTTGAAATTAGCTTGAACCGATAATATAAATGTAAAAATATGTGAGTTTGTGTGTATGTTTTTTACTCAGTCACAGATGAAATTTGGAATAGAGATAGGTTATGTTCTGAAGTAATACATATACTTACTACTTTTTAACTTTGGAAACGCGAGCGAAGCCACTAGCAGAAGCTAGTTTGGTACATAAAGTTGTCATAGGTAAAGACCCAAGTAAAAAAAACTGTCGCGGAGAACCTAACGGGTAACCGGGGCTCCGGCTCGACGTGCAGGAGAAGGAACGGGGTGGTTTTTAGTCAGTAAGAGTCTGACACTCCCTTCCGCCTCACCCAGGCGAGAGCAGTCATTCGATGATTTTCCCCCCTTAAAAAAAAAAAAAAAATAAAAAAAACTAATAATAATTTAGCTACATTACCTTTCCTTCTCCAGGTCAATATGGACTGGACATCTACACGCGAGAGCGCGGCGGTCCCACAGCTATCCACCAAAACGGTTCCACGGAGAAAGAGAAGCACCTCCTCACACACTGCTGCAAATACCTCATCAACAGCAGCAAGAGGAACTAACGAGTTGTTCAGTAATATACTTTATTTTTAAGTATTTAAGTTGGAATTTGCGTTATCATCACAAAAATATATCATCTTGTTTTTGTTACTTTTCGCATTTGAAAATGCGACTCGATTCTTTGGTTAAGAATGGATTTGCCAGAATGTACGTAGGTACATCCTTACTAATCCTTACTAATATTATAAATCTCAAAGTGAGTTTGTTTGTTTGTTTGTTCCGCCTTCACGCCATAACTACTAAACCGATTACTTTGAAATTTTGCAGACGTAAAGTTAGAAGTCTGGATTAAATAACAGGGTACTTTTTATCCCGGAAAAATTTGATATTCTCGATGGAAAATGAAATTATTAGTATAGATGGCGCTGTGTGTATTGGTATATGTCACATAGGCTACTTTTTATCCTTTTGTGACGTGAGCGAAGCCGCGGGTAAAAGCTCGTGATACATAAATATGTACGATCATAACTCCCGAATGACTGCATTCAATTGGATAATAGGTCGGTCGGGGAACTGCAACCGTACTAAGATCAGAGCAAGCATCTAGTTTGCAATATAAATTATGAAATGAATTCGGTGGGATTCAAAAACTAAAGACAAACCAAACGCATAAGTAATAGTTTATAAACATACAATTGTCACAACCATTGATGATGGATATTATTACGATATTATTGCAATAATATATAATTATAATAATAATTATTATTAGTCATAGTTTTACCGATATAATTATGATAACACGTTATTTAATATTAAAAACGTTACAACAAAATGGCTACCGTCCAATTGTCTTCCATATTTTATTGACGGTATTATATAAAAATATTAACGTCCTACATTGTCAATTATATACTCAAAAAGCGCGATCATATAAGAAAACAGGTTGCCGGTACGGGTTAGTCGGTACCGATCGGTGCAGGCATTATAAACGATCATTTATAATGATATACATGTCGTTTTTATCTAAAAGTTAACTCTGTACCTATCAGCACCAGACAGTCCGTACCGGTAACCTGTTTCTTTATGGAAGGCCCCTAACGCAAAAGGTTGTGGAACAAAAGGGCGTATTCTGAGTAATCATTTATGATAGACATAATTTTTATAAGATATTTTATATGATTTTTACCCAAATGTAGATATACGTAATAGAATAGAAATAAAATACTTATGCTGACACCTTCGATCAACAATAACAACTAGATAAAGGGTTACGTACAAAATCAAGCTCCAGTTCTGTCCGTGTGAATAATAATAGTAAAAAAATAACAAACTGAGCAAAATGTTTTAAAATGGTTTTAAGTTCAACCTAATAACAACCATGGCACCTAATAATAAAGTCATAAATCGTCAAAATATTATCTAATACTTACGACCATTCGTCACATAAGACGAGAAAAGCATTTTCTTACTCCTGTCATGTAGAAATTAAAAGACATAAGTTATAAAATATCTAGTTTGATTTCAACCTTAAGCTAGAACAAATAAAGATATTTTTTCCGTTATTGCCTTGTGATCTATATCGTTTTGTTTTGTTTCGTTTTGCTTCTTCGAATTTTGAATTTCGCTACAGGAGGTATGTATGGAGTCGTGTTGAACACTAAAATAATTTTATTTTCGGGATCTTAGTATACATCACTTATTTTTATTAGCGGTACGTTTTTGTGTATCATATGTTTATTAACTTTGTCATTAAAAGTCTAAGTCAAAATCATTTATTTCAGTTAGACCAGGAAGGCACTTTTGAACGTCAACAATATATATTTAAAAGTGAAGCTATTTGGTCATTTCAAGGTGTAGATTCATATGGAGAAGAACGAGCAAGAAACTCCATAGGTTAAGTACTCTTTTCCAATCAGGTTACAATATAAATTTGTTTTAAAATACAAATCGACTCCATGCATCCACTGTTCTGTTTAAACAAATGTTTGTGCGCGTGTTGGCGAGGCTTGGCCAAGGGATCGCCAACACACGCACAAACATTGGTGGCGTTGGTTTATAATTGGTAATTTTGTCTAATTTGATATTATTTACTAATTTAAAAGCTTAAAATATAACTTATACTTTATTTACTTATCGAAAGTAAGACACTCCGGCCGTTATACTGCTTTTTCGGTTATTATGTTTGCAACTTGCAATAACGCACTGCAGCGTCGTGAGACGTGATTACGTTGGCCATGTTTGGAGCATACTAAACAAAATAAGAGCTCACTTTTCAAGTGAGCTCTTATTTGTCGAGACGATTTTCTTCCGCCGACCCGATATCTAGTTGTTATTGTTGATCGAAGGCTGACACATAAAACATTTATTATATTATAATTATAATTACTATAGAATACGCTAACATTTATACATAAACTTATAATTGTAAATGATTCGATATAAATTGAATTTAATTAATTTTAAGTACATAATAAGGTTGTGCCGGAGCAATTTAATTGCTTTTTTGTACTTTTTTATTATATTACGAATAATTTGTATAAAGATTGAGCGTTTAGCTTTAGAATGCACGTTATCTGCGATGGCAGATTGTAATGTCATTGTCATACCTTTTTTTACTTAATGGCTAACATAAATATCATTATTTCTTTAAGTTTTGAGTTTACAGTGTGTGTGAAAATGTGAAACAATATTCCCATAGAAGCTAGTTAATCTGCTTTACAATACTTCCCTGTCCATAATAATAGAATGGCGCGAGATTTAAACTTGGAATGAGCATTGAAAATGACGTTTAAAAGTTTAGATTTTGACATTTGTTTTTATTGGCCAGTACATTGGCGCCTTTTGAACGGCTGCAAAAAGTTTGTATGCAACTTTTTAAATTTGTTGCTCAATATTTTCAAGGTGTTTCTCGTTAATATCAGTTTGCATTGTTTTTCTTTATTCTAAGACAGTGATATACGCTTACTTGTAATGAGAATTATAAATAGATTGCTCTATTTTATTAATATATTTTTTATTTACTTGTTAAACGCACAAAATGAAATGTAGCAATTTATTATTATAACTTAATCCTAAAATAGTTTTAACATTACGTTTAATTTATATGACAATATTATTATTTTTTCTATTTAATAAACACGAAAATGTATGTAATTTTTTATAAAATATATGGCATGTTACTTTTCTAATATGCGTTTTTATTGTATACGAGATTTCTACAATAATTCTTAAATTGAGCACCAAAATTAAGGACGGCTGAATTATCTTAAAATTAATTAACATACCATGTAAACTGGGGGTAAAAGTAACTAAACATTTGTTCGAAATTAAACCTTATAATAAACTTCATAATTAAACATGAGATTCAATAAAATGGATGGTCATAAGATTGACATTTGCTTGACAGAGGAACTATTTTATAAGTCTTTTTAAACATTACAATGTTATAATATTATTATGGTCATAACAGGCGTCCAATAGTTAAATATCACTTAAATACTTGATATGAAAAGTTCAAGGTACTGAGATTCGTAAATGAGATTTTTTTACACATAAGCGCACAACCAATTAAATCATAGCCGTACTTTTGCGAATTTTATTTTCGCTATAACCACAATTTTCTATTATAATTATTATTGAGTCATATATGGCCTGCATTGTTCACATAATTATAAGTATCAATCAAGTAGCAAGCTTTTTAATTTGTCAATGAATAAATTGACAGTTTCAATTCAAATAATATTTATAATGAACATGTCAACCAGTCTTCATTGCTATTGCAAAATAAGTCATATCTCTTTTACATAAGAGCTACAATGAGTATCAGAAAAACTAAAATTCAATATTTGATGTCACAAGCATTAATAGTTCATAGATGTATTTATACATTTATGAAACAAGTATACATAAAAATAAGTCAAAACAAATCAGTGCAATTCAATTTCTTTTAAAACAGTGCTTTAATCTCAGTTTGCGCAAAATAATGCGCTACTGCGCTAATTCAGTGTGTACTTGCGCTACTTCCGCTGCTCAAAGTGAGTAATGTGAACGCTCTTACACCATTATAGACCTTTCCGATGTTTAGACTACTGTTGTGTGAACAAATGTTGTGAATTTTTCATAATCAGAGATTAAGAAGTTAATTTCCATTTAAAATATCTTTGAATTCAATTATAATATAAGCTAAAGTACTTAAAGTTTAAAATTGTATAATTCATTTGTTAAATTTTTCAATTCAAATTTCCTTTGAGCAACCGAAACCTAATGGCAACCGATTACCAGATTATCCTTTAAAAAAAGTCGTAATCAAATCAATTTTCTAATTTTATTATACTAACTTAAAACGTTTTCACTCACTTTCAGCAGAGTAAATTACGCCATACTTTTCCAAAATCTCACTAAATATAAAACTACACACATACATCTATTGCATGTCGATATTTTGTATATCTTATACTAGTCCTTTCGTAGCGTTCAATGTGGCTCTCTGCTCGACCCCTCGTATTAAAGTGCCGAGTAATCCTTCCATTTCATTCGCCGTCTCCCGCAGTTGAGTGTTGTCAAAGCATGAGTCTGAAAATAGACATACCAATATTAGCAATCATTCATTCAATAATTTTACGTTAATGCACTAGAAGTTAAAACTTGCAAGTTCTGTAAAAGGATGACTGTAAGTAAACAATTTTCATAGAAAGAGTTCTATCTACGGAACCTATTAACTAAAAATCGCGCGACTGTAAGTTTAGAACCACAGAGGGGTTCTTCCTCATGAGCAGAGTGCGCGGTCGCAGCGATGTCGCGCAACCTATACCGGCTATATTTATACATATTCACGTGAGTAACCCTCGAAATTTTTGGTTAATTTAGTTCGTCTCAAGATAGTTATTATAAAAACTACTGAACCTATGTTCAGAAATCTAGAAACCTTCTGATTAACGATTGACTTGTTTGGTTGAGCCCGAATCTCCGAAAGTGCTCGTTGAGATTTAAAATGATTTTGTATTGTGTGTGTGCTATAGATATAAAACATCATGTTAGGACCAACAAGAACCAAGCAACGGGTGAAACTGTGCGAGCAATAAACTTTGAATACAAAAAATGTTGCTGATAAGATTGTTAACTCACCATCCATAGCAAAATTATTAGTCAATATCTGCTGCAGTCTATCGAGTACGGTGTCTAGGTCAGCATTAAGTTCCTTCATCTTATCGTTACTGTCCTCTACATGTCGTATGTCGGCCGCGAACTTCTGCTCGGCAGCTGATAATGAGTGGTTCGTCGTGTCCGCTAGGCGAGGCTTGCTACGTGTTCTTTTCTCTGGTAGTGATTCAGTTTCTGGAAGAATTTGGAATATGATTATACAAAAATGCTAGTGCTATTGATACTTTGCCCGACCCGGGAATCGAACCCGAGACCCCTTGCCCGGCAGTCGCATTTGCGACCACTCGGCCAACGAGGCAGTAATAAAATTATATTAAAGTGGTTAAGTAGATACTTACCATTATACCAATTGCTGATATCATTCATAGACACAGTGGATATGCTGTCAGAGGTGGCATGCACGACTACAGGCTTCAGAGCATCTCCAGACATGGTCAGCAAATTCTGACTCTCTGGCTTCGAAACTACAGAGAAGTTTCCAGAATCCAGACTCAGTACCCGCGGCTGGCTTTTAATGTCTGCGACTTTGGACTGCTTTTCGTTTTCAAGCACTGGTATTGGACTGAATAGATCAAATGCTTGCGGTCGTTCGATTTTGTCGGTTTTCGCAGCATTTTCTGATACTATTATCGTTTGACTTGATGATAGGTTCTCCTGGAATTGAATTAATTACTTTATAGAAAGCAACGAGCCACATGAACACTGAAAAGGGATAACATTTAGGAAGGTACAGAAAATATTAACTAATACCGGCGACTCGAAGGACTGCGCAAACTTTCGAGTAACCACTCGTGTGTCGCGCGTACACGATTTCAATACGTTTTTATATAACGTTCGTTTTTATGTCTCCACAACAAGAAATCATCGTCATCAGACGACGAGACGATATTCTTAAAGCGGTGCCACGCTACAACTGTGTTTCCGATGTGCGCATCTATATATATAAAAAAGAAACCCGTTTCCCGTTGTCACGCCATAACTTGAGAACAACTTTATCGATTTGGCTGATTTTACTCCTTATTACAAAAAAAATCCTGAAAATCTTACGGGAACGGGAGAAACGGGATTGCGCGTACGAAGTCGCAGGCAGAAGCTAGTATATAATACATTTGTAGGAAGCTGAATTGTACTGCAATGATTGTGGCGATGTCAATGTTTGATACGTGTAGCGGCCTGCTTATTGTGAGTAAATCGTACATAAGTAACTCAAAACAGTTAGAATATTAGACCATAGGATGCTATACTTCCCTAAACAACTAATTGCTATTACTTAAAGTTAAAATATAACTAAAATTGTTCTGTACCTTCAAAGCCTTCAGTCTGCTAATCTGTGTGGACATGTGAGCCCAGTGCGCCTCCACTTTGGTCCGCAACTCATCATTGTCATTGTTCTTGGCATCAGCCTCACTCCCATACAACCTGTCAAGCCTGCTCGACAGCTCTTGGAGGGATCTGGAATAGATATTTTATAGCTTTATTTTAGGTAAGTGATAAAAGGTATTATAGTTATTATTCACAAAATCGCATTAGCCAGTTGATTATTCGTATCGTACTGTCGTCATAAGTTACCCCATGGTTAGGAGTGCAATCTCGATCTCGTAGAAAAATTGATCAACAAATTTGTAATCCTCAAAAAGCCGGTGACGCACTTGTAACGCCTATGGTGTTTCGGGTGTGCGTGAGCAGCGCCGATTGCTTACCATCACGGGATCCGTCTGCTCGTTTACCGGCTTATTCAATTTTTATTTTTATTTTCAGCCATGATCATGCTTCAGGGCAAAGGCCTCCCTACCCTCCTTCCACTCCTCTCTATATAAAGCTTTTTTTATAAAAACCTTATTCAATAAGAAGAAAATATCGGTTTACTAAGGATTTTTATTTTATTAAGCTGGTGGTAAACAGAAATAATTTTCAACAAAAGATCTGACAAAACAACTTACTTGTGTTGCGTTTCAAGCTGTGTAATAATATCATTTAATACAACAGTGGGGTTACTTGCATTATTGCCTGAAGCTTTACCCACTGTAGACGTGAAGATCACAGGCCTGCCATCCTTCCTTCTTCTGACTGTTCCACTGTCCACATTATCGACATTCTTCTTAGAACCCTTCTTAGGCCCTTTCTTCTTAGTTTTAGTACAGAAGAATAGTCTCTTCATACCTTTTATGAAGTTTATACATTCTGATGTTTTTGTCTGAAAGAAAGGAAAGATGGTGAATTAGTTCAGTAGTTTTTATAATAACTATCACTCGGTGCCGTGGACTCCCTGAAGTAATAGTAATTAATTGTCAGGGGCTTTGAAGGACAGACAACTTTTACGACGAAAACACATATGAGAGCGGGTTATATTCCCTCACGAAACAAATCATTATATATGATCTTTTAATGCAATAGGTTCACCCCTTTTTACCGACTTCAAAAAAAGGAGGAGGTACTATGTTCGGCTGATTGTTCGCGCAGTACTCCGCCGTTTGTGGACAGATTTCAAAAATTTTTGTTTTGTTTGAAAGGGTGTACACCCGAGATGGTCCCATTTCCATGAAGTCAGGATCTGATGATGGGATCCTAGGGAAACCGAGGGGAACTTTCGAAAATTCTATGGGGGAGTAATGCGTCTATTATGTTTTCCAATTAAGAATTTTAAACACTACAATTAGATAAGGGTCTGGAGTCGACCTGATGATGGAGTCGACAGACAGTCGAGGGAACTCCTCAGCGGTTTATATTAACTACTTTGTGTTTGGGCTTGATTAATTTGTATTGATGAGGACTTTACACCTAGATAGAGTGGGGCTGTCATTGAGGGTCTGATGATGAAGAAGTGTAATTGTTAAGGGAACTCCTCAACAGTATACAGTAACTACCTTGAGTTTGGGCTTGATTAATTTGTATTGATGAGGACTTTACACCTAGATAGAGTGGGGCTGTCATTAAGGGTCTGATGATGAAGAAGTGTAATTGTTAAGGGAACTCCTTAACGGTATACAGTAACTACCTTGAGTTTGGGCTTGATTAATTTGTATTAATAAGGACTTTACACCTAAATAGAGTGGGGCTGTCATTAAGGGTCTGATGATGAAGAAGTGTAATTGTTAAGGGAACTCCTCAACGGTATACTGTAACTACCTTGTGTTTGAGCTTGTACAATTTGTATTGATTAGAACTTTGCACCTATGTATATTATAAGTAACAAGACGGGTATATGTAGCTTTACACTGAAAATGGTAAAATAATAAAATAAAAACTGCGTTTAAAAAACCAACTTCAAAAACCAAAAACTAATAACAAACAAAAAGTCAAAACCAAAAAGCAAAAAATAACTATTAATAGTACTGATAGGTTACCCACCCACTGATAGGTTAGAAGTCGGTGCCATAAGCTCATATCATAATGATATAACTTAATGTCCACAAAATTGTAAATTAGGTACCTATTAAGGTTTTAATGAATAATTTTGTATGGAACTTATGGCACCGACTTCTTACCTATCAGTGGGTGGGTAACCTATCAGTACTATTAATAGTTATTTTTTGCTTTTTGGTTTTGACTTTTTGTTTGTTATTAGTTTTTGGTTTTTGAAGTCGGTTTTTTAAACGCAGTTTTTATTACATGGGACTCATAACATAAATAGTGAAAAGTGGGGATAACATTGTACAGTGGCATAATGTGCACCTCTGCCTACCCCTTCGGGGATAAAAGGCGTGATGTTATGTTATGCTTTTAATGATTTGTAAATCTCTTAAATGTATGATCGTTGACGTTGCAAAAGTACCAAACTATGGTTTAATTGAAATAAATGTTTTGACTTTTGACTTTTGATCTCAAATTGTTGTTTCGAGTCTAGATTCGATGTGTACTTGTATGTTTGTAAATGCACCCACGGTACATGAGAAAATCCTAATATAGTGCAACATCATAACTCTCTTGGCTTTGGCTTCACCATAGTCGCGTAAAAACTGCTTACCTGTCCGTCCATGATCTCATGTACAAGATGCGTCTTCTTATGTCCACTGACGGTTGTCAGGTCCTTGTCATACAAATAGCACTTCTCACAGAAGTAGATGTCACTGCATTTACTGCATTTGAATTTGAGCACCTGTAAAATTTAATATTCATATTGATGGCCAAACATTATTTATAATTGTTATTTTTTGCCGACTGCGTGGTGACAAGACACCCTACTGCTAATATGGGATGGGGAAAACGGGTACACCGACTAAACTGATCTGGGTATGATTGTTTGGATTTCGAAATTCATCGTAAACAATAGAATAGTTAATTACTGGTCCCGGTATTCCACAACCATCGGTAGTTGTGTTCGTTTTTAGTATTCCTTACGTATTCTGTCCACCATTCCGGAAAATGTGAAATCAGATTTCGCCCAATAAACAACAATATCTAAAACTACTCACAAAATTCCATTTTATACTAGTATGCCATGCGTGATTTCATCAGCAATCAAACTTAAAAATAAACCATTTAGGAGATTAATGTTTTCACAAACTTTTCCGTTATTTTAAACAATACGTAATTAACATACTAATACGTCTTGCAAACAGTAGCAGACAATAGCAGACTACATCCCGTTACACACGTCTTCATTGTTCGGCGACAAAATTGAAAGTGCGTAAAATGTACGAGCATCGGCGCCTGCGCACCGCGAGATAAAAACCGCAAGAAGTAAACAATAACAGGTAGACGATGTCAGGTGCATAACAAGTGGGTTGCAGGTAGTAATGGAAGCACTTTCTGTTTTTTTATCTTTTTTTCTCTTTTGGGACCCACCCACCTATTTATTGACTGCCTATTGTGCTTCTTTTTTGCGAATCTCAAATAGCTGTATATTCTAACTAGTATGTCTCTTAACTGTATCAGTTGTAGGCCACTCTTTTTGAGGTGACAACCAAATATATTTTACTCAGCCATTATCATACTGCTGTTGTAATTTCTTAACTATAGAAAAGTCCTAAATTATCTAAAGGATAGTTTCACTAAGCTGGCCAAGTAATTGTTGACAACAGATATTTTTACAAGTTGTAACTTAGGTATGGTGGTAATTGCTTGGCAGTTTGAAGTTACCATTACATAATAAAGGCGACTGACCTGTATAAGAGGTTGAGAGCAATGAGCGCATGTAGCGGAGACATTAGCGCTGTTCCTGCTGGCCACGACGCGCTGCAGCACGGGCAGCCAGCGCGCGCTGCTGCAGCGCTGCACGCCCCACTCCGACACTGCGCGGGCACTCACGCCCAGCATGCCCGCACTCTGGAAAATGTTCAGTAATATTAATAAAGTTGATTTTTAACCAGTTGTTAATTCCAATGTAAGATAGGTTTTTGAAAACCTTGTTGCCTGACGTGGAAAGTCTGATGAAGGTAGGAAGGAGGAGCTTGTTTGTTAGCTCGGCAATCACACTAGCAATTAACGAAGTAGTACAGTTAATAGCGTGTACAAAAATACTACAATAATTAAGTGTAACCGTTAAATGTTATCAGCCTGGAAAGTAAACATTTTCAAATGTTACCCGATTTCGTTACTATTAATCAGACCAATAACCTTTTGGTTGATAACTTTAATACATATACATAAATAGACTGGCGAGTTTTAAATCAAAGAATTTTTTAAAGTGCCTGTCAGTCAGTACACAAACAGATCGTCCAAAATTTAATCTTATACTATTATATAAAGCAGAAGAGTTTGTTTTTTGTTTGTTTGTTTGAACGCGCTAAACTCCGTTACTACAAGTCTGATTTGAATAATTCTTTTTGTGTTGGATAGCGCATTTATCGAGGATGGCTATAGGCTATAAAACATCACGCTACGACCAATAGGAGCTGAGCATAGCGTGTGAAACTGAAGCTAGTTCACAATACACCTGGAAAAAAAATCTAAAATGATAACAAAACACATCACATACCTTGTCAAAACAAGCCTCCACATCAGCTTGAGCATGGTCACACATAACTCCAAGGTATGCAGACAATGCGGTCACATGTGCCAACAGGGCCGCCAGTCTCTTGGGTGACACACAGCCATTATGGTCCATACAACAGTTGGCCAGAGCTCCCCATTTGTCAGACGCTGACTCTTCACTCAAAATTATAAGTAAGGTCTTTGCTGCTAAAACTCGTACTGGTTCTTTTCTTTCACTGTTAAATTAATGTTATAAATGAATGTGATAATGATAAAATGAGGACAGGATTCTTATGACCGTCTTGAACAATGAGGAACAAACTTTGGAATAAAGTATTATTGAAAGTTAAAGTAAGTTATGGTACCTAGATTTATAATCCTTACTGATATTATAAATCGGAAAGTGAGTTTGTTTGTTTGTTCCGCTTTCACGCCGTAACTACTAAACCGATTGCTTTGAATTTTTGCAGATGTAAAGTTAGAAGTCTGGATTAAATAATAGGGTACTTATTATCCCGGAAAAAAATATATTCTCGAGGGAAAACGAAATTATTGGTATAGATGGCGCCGTGTGTATTAGTATATGTCACATAGGCTACTTTTTATCCTTTTGTGACGCGAGCGAAGCCGCGGGTAAAAGCTAGTGCCTAATATATTGGTCCTATTGAATAGGCAAGTTTATTAAGAAAATACGACCATTTCCAACAATAAAAAAACACATCTTTTTTGAAATAAATTCATAAACTCAAATAGGTACATGCATGAAACTTACCTATCATAAATATTCAGCAACAGGTTGATCAGCAAGTCCACAGCTAAATCAATGTCTCCTGTGAATAAACCTTCTTTTTCCGCTGCAAAGTAAATGTCTGCCAGGACAGACTCTAGTTCCACTGTGTCTAGAGACAGGCTGCTTTCTGATAGGCTGAGCTGGTGCCTAGCAAATACTCCTGAGCTGATCCGGAGAGGAGGAACTGGAAACAAATTGTGTCATTCTACAATAATAAATACTTAACTCGTCGAGTACCGGTTTTATAGACACAATTAAAGAACAATAGGTCGCAGTCACCGGTGACCGCTTGGTGTTTGACAGTTTAAATAATTGAAAAAAATTTTGTACAGTTAATCGTCACTGAGAAACTACTAAACACTAGATTGATCAAAACTAAATTAGTAAGGCTTTGGAAATAATGATGGTCAGCATTTTATGGTAGATACTTTAATGTATTACGGCGAATGCACCGGTCATAACTCTGGTCAAAAACAAAGCATAGTATGTCCATGATCAGATTTACCATCTTACATATTCGTACAGTTATCAGCCTTCTTGCATTAAGAGTAAATTTATTATGAAGAAATAATTTAGCAAACTTTTCTTTGTTGAAGTTTGATGAGCTTCGAAACGATCTAGTCGAAGTTTACATAAAACTAGTTATTGATGAACTTTACGCAACCGAATATTTTATCATAACAAGAATTCATAATTATTTAAATAGCATATTTATATTAAATAGTCGGAAACAGTAAATTCTTACTGAAATCCGATACATCACCATAAATGGTAAGAAAAATGTCAACAGGTAGCACTTGCACCTACCTCTCAGGTGTTTTTGTAAAGCGTATATCTTGAATGCAACGCGATAAGCGTTATATTTGATCCCGTCATATTCTTCAAGGGATTCCATAATCTTCTGAAACTCAGGATGATCATATTGTTGTTTACTAGACACCTCACTAAAAACATAAAACTTAAAAAGTTTTCAACTTGACGACGATAAATTAATGTACTCGAACTGTGAAAGTTTACGTACTCGATATAACACGGGTACCCTGCCTCATTTTCCACTTTTTTCCAGTGTATTAACGACATGTTGCCTATTTTATTTCACAATTCCATTATTTTAGAACAAAAACAGTAGAGCTGAAACAGCAAAATATTTATTACTCAACCGTCGTAAAATATTCAAAAAATAAAATAATTCTCTTCTAGATAAAAGTTTTAAAAGGTCAACTATTTAGGCGAATCATTACGATGCTTGTTCCGCATCTTATTTTTTATTGGTTGAACTATTTTAAAGCATGATTTCTATTGGCTAAAATGTCAATGGAATTTAGAACGAAAACTGGTACTAAATCACAATTATTCGAAAATTAAAGTCAAACAAATATAATCTATAGGATGAAAATAATATTTGTCAAATATTATAACTGTAAAAAGTTATTCAAATCTTAATTTGATTTTTTATTTTCGTATATTTACTCATTAAAAAACAGTAAAGCGGTTTTAGTGTTATGACTTAGCGTACATCGAAACGTAGTTTGATGACATTAGCTTGTTTTCTTTGACAAATCTGAATTCACCGAATATTTTATCCAATAGAAGCAGAGCAGGTTTTGTTTACGCGAGGTCCTAGCCAATCAAATTACTGTATACAAATTTATTTTTTACTACCATTTTCTAATTGTAACGGAGACGCCATTTTGCAAGCGTCACTTGGCGGCGTGTCGGGTATCCGCATTTTGACCCGAAATACCTTTGTTTAAATCATAATATTGTTTTGTTTCGTGTAATATGTCTTATCAATCAAGTGTAGCTCAAGACTCTTTAGCTGCGGCACAATTAGAGATGACCGGTAACCCCAACGCTTTGGCCTTGCGTCGGCCATTCGACCCGGTGGCGCACGACTTAGAAGCTAGTTTTCGATTGACACGATTTGCGGACTTGAAAGGAAGAAGCTGCAAAGTTCCCCAAGATGTTCTTGGTAAACTTGTGGAATCGCTACAACAGGACTACTCCCAACAAGAGGATCAATTTATGCATGTGGCGATCCCGCGCATCGGTATCGGCTTGGACTGTTCCGTAACACCACTCAGACATGGAGGACTTTGTTTGGTCCAAACTACCGACTTCTTCTACCCTTTGGTTGACGACCCCTATATGATGGGTAAAATCGCGTGTGCTAACGTACTAAGCGACCTGTATGCGATGGGTGTTACAGAATGTGACAATATGCTTATGCTGCTCGGCGTGTCAACAAAGATGACTGAGAAAGAGCGTGATGTTGTGATCCCTCTAATTATGCGTGGATTCAAAGACTCTGCTCTAGAGGCTGGCACCTCTGTCACTGGTGGACAGACTGTCATTAACCCTTGGTGTGCAATTGGCGGGGTAGCTACTACAATCTGCCAACCCAATGAATATATTGTTCCTGATAATGCTGTTATGGGTGATGTACTTGTGTTAACCAAACCCTTGGGTACCCAAGTAGCTGTAAATGCTCATCAGTGGCTTGATCAACCTGAACGCTGGAATCGTATCAAGCTGGTTGTGTCTGAAGAAGATGTCCGTAAGGCGTATCACCGAGCAATGGATTCTATGAGCAGGCTCAATCGCATTGCTGCTCGTTTAATGCATAAATACAATGCTCATGGTTCCACAGATGTTACTGGCTTTGGCCTGTTAGGTCATGCACAGAACCTGGCTTCTCATCAGAAGAATGAGGTTTCATTTGTTATTCATAACTTACCAGTGATTGCCAAAATGGCAGCAGTAGCCAAGGCATGTGGCAATATGTTCCAACTGTTGCAAGGGCATGCTCCCGAGACATCAGGTGGACTGCTCATCTGCTTGCCCCGTGAACAAGCTGCAGCATATTGCAAAGACATTGAGAAGCAAGAAGGCTACCAGGCATGGATTATAGGAATTGTTGAGAAAGGCAACCGCACTGCCCGCATCATTGATAAGCCCCGAGTCATTGAAGTGCCCGCTAAAGATTAAACTAAGTTCAGTTTCAGACAGTTACAAATTTTATATTTTCTAAGTAATTAATTCTTGAGAACTGGATAAATTTAAAAATTTTATTTTGAATTTATTATGTATAACTTGGATCTTAAGTATTTTAGTTTGAGAGTTTGATTTCACTGTTTTCTTGTAAGATAAGTTACTTAAGGTATATTGTTGTAAGAAAGCTTCTAGGAAACTCAATCTAGTGACTATTTTGGTGTTTATAAATCTAGATAAGATATCATAAATGAAAAGAGAATAATTCCATTAGGTACACATAACCTATTTGTTTGCAGCTTGTGGAATGTTTCTGCAACTTGTGAGATAAGTATAATGATTAGAATAAAGTTATTTTTCAGTCAATTTGTAGTTTTATTTTAGTTCAATAACAGAATAACCTTGAATATTAAATACAATATTTAATTTTCTAAAACAGTTACATATTATTTTCAATGACTTGTTGCATAGTTCTCCACTACAAAAGTTACTAAGCCCAAAGCAATCAATAGAAACACATGTATTATCATAATTAAAACTTTATTCGTCTGTTTCTAGTAAATTATGAATAACACAGCTATCTTTCTGCAAGCTGGGCCCAAAGAAAGTACAATAAAATCCACTGTCATGCAATTATAATTGTTGTTTCTATAAACTACATACATTTATTGCCAAAAAGGTTTAATTGCTAAATATAAGGCTGGTAGCACTTGACAAACATATTTACTAGCTAATGTGGATAGTATACTAATATGGGATGTACAGTAATTGGTGTTTACTACTATAAATATTTTATAACAGCAATCACATTTTATTCTAGCATGTGCACTCATTCACTGAATATTTGATACTACTAAATTAAAATCACAATCGCCTATTCCACAGCTAATGTGAAGTATTGATAACTCAAAATGGTGAAAAAAATCATTATATTATTGATAAAAGTTATGAGAATAAGTTCTAACTTCATTGAAATTTGAATTTTCACATCACTAAACAAAATATTGGTGTTTTGAAAATTGAGTTATCAATATTACACAGTACCGTAAAATGGGGTGAATAGGGATATAAGGTCTTCATAGTATCTATCCCCCCATCTTCTGTCCCTTTTCGCCGCTCAATCCCTATTCACCCCATTCTACCGTACAATCTATTTCCAACCAATAAATTGCAATTAATACATAATAATAATATACTTTTTATGTTATCATAAATAGCATCAAAATTAATATTTGCAGTACTGCTTTCAAAATACTCAAATTAATTCAGTTGTCATTATAAAGTATATATTTAGTGCCTTAAACATCTAATAAGACTTCTTTCATGAACCTCTGCCTGATGCATGGCACAGTACATTCATGTACTCCAACAACAATAATTTTCGGCCTTTTGTTAACTTGTGCCTAGCTAATGAGAACCACTCATTGACACAGTATACAAATAGGTTTACCATTATACTGCTTTCATTTTAAAAAAAACAATAGTCAAAACAACAACTAATTATTTAGCACATCTGTAATAAAATCAATTTCAAAAATTATAATACTACAGTAACAAATGTAGTTTCAATCAATATTGCATTAACTCAAGAATATTACTGAGGCACTAAAATTACTGAACACATTTTTAATTTTAGAATATTAAAATTATTTATACTATCAGATGAATTTAGATTCAAAGATATGAAACCTCCAAGGAGATATTTGTTGAGTAAAAAAAAACTTATTAATAGAACATGGAATGAATATAATTCATACTTTGATTTTCAATATTCAATATCCACTGAAATATAAATAACTTACAGCCACATGTGAGAACAAATTAGTTCAAAGATCCTTGTAATGGCACTTGACTGTTGGATGTAGTTTTCTCAGAAGACATGGGACCAATACATTGAGAATCAATGTATAATTTGACCTAAGATGTGGAATACAAATGTTACAAAAATGCCATACACTTGAAAGTCTATAACTGAAGCACAAACTAACTGGCTGCCTTGTTTGCCGGTCTTCAGTTTAATGGAGAGTTCAGACAAGGCCTCTTGCGAGGTCGACTGTCGTCGCCATTCTGTTCGATGTGGCTCTGGTCACGTTTTTTTGGTGAATTGTTGTTCTGAAATTGAGAAATTGGATTTATTAGAAAAGCAAGTACATTAGTCTCTGTGAAAGGTAGGTGCAACACAATGCTTTCTATTTGAATTTTATTTTGTCTAGGTAGTCTGTCAATAAGCAGTTACTTTAAATTTATTTTTGCAGCTGCATATATTGTCGAAAATTGTCAAATAAAACTTATAAACAATTCTAATAAATAATATATTGTTTTAAAAATGATATACATACTACAATGACTGGACTATAAACAGTGTTCGGAAAGATGTAATAAGTGTACTGCAAGTTGCAACAGGTTATTTGTCAAATGCGACAAGTTTGCTTCAAGTTGCAAAGTCTTTGCAAACTCTGATAAGAATTGAATACTTTACACACACACACACACACTTAGGTTTTTAAAACATAGATGGCTGTTACAAATTTCTTAAATTAGAAAATGCTTTCCAACATTCATTTTAAAACAACTTACAAGTATTTATTGGTTTTTAAGTTGAATTTAACCAGCATGTTTTGAGTTAACCTGAAAAACTAGTCTCAATGTTGACAAACTAGCTGGTTAAAATCATGTTAATCTGTCAAACACCAAGCGGTCACCGGTGACCGCGACCTATTGTTCTTTAATTGTGTCTATAAAACCGGTACTCGACGAGTTAAGTCAAGGTAATTTAGACTATAATTATAATGTAACCACCTTCAATTATTAAATTGTGATATAGGTTCAGTTTCTACTACAAAAAGAAAATCTAGGCTACTAGTGCTGTGTTTAACCTTATAAAGTAAAGGTTACAAGCAAATTTCTGATAAGTATAGATCTAAAAATAATCTTTACCTTTTTCTCCCATTGCTGATGAAGATACCTTAACAGTATATTTGTCTTTTCTGTTACAATTACTGAAAAAAGAAACAAACTCATTGGATTATTTCACATACAATTGGTTCTCATTATGAAATCTGAAAAGTATGAATGAATAGCTAATAACTCTAATTAGATTTAGGTTATGTTGTATCTAGATCAACTTGATTAGTGTTAATGCGAATGCTGCTATAAATAAACAAACTCATTTAGTCTTACTAGAATCGTATACTCAACTTTGCTCAGATGGTATATCCTTAGTTGGTAAATATATTGACGGTCTTTTCGAACAATTTCTAATCCCATGGTCCGTATTGAATAATGTGAAGTTGTGCTCGTCATACGACGGTAGATCCTTCAGGAATTCCATCACCGACTGCCGAAATATCACAATTCAATCAAACACTCTATTGAAAGGTACAACATCAAGGCCCAAGCATGGTGCGCAATACAATCACTTTTTGGCGAAATGTGGATCCAGTCCTCGCACTTACCATAGTAATCCTACAATGATATGGTCAGAGCTCGTTATTTAACAATCAACAATTTGACAAATCAAACAATAAAGCCAAAATAATCAAAAATAAAATCCTCAACGATCGCTTCCACCAGCAACCAGATGAGAATGACAGCTAGAACTAATGTTGCCGCATGTAAATATAAACCAAATGAAAAAGGATTTTGTAACGAAATTGAATAAAGATTGACTGATTTTTTAACGAATATCTTGAAATTACGAATTAATAAATATGTTTAATTCTCATTTTTCCGCGATACGGATAATAGTTGATGAACGCAGTGAATAAAAAATATATATTTTTAAAAAAACGTATGTACCACCTGAGTGTAACATTATTGCAACAGATTAAAAAAACATATTAGCGGGAATTTTAAATGGTTCTTTTTTTCTTTTATTTTAAACTGAGCCGTTAGTTAAAGTTTCAAAATAATTAAACTTGCATTTAACAATTAATTGACATTGAAAATGTACAGTTTGGTTAACACTAATTTTAACAGAACTTATAATCCAAGTGGACGACAAAATGCTTTATCGGATATTAAAAAGCTGCTTACTTCCCGGGATACAACTGCACAAAATAAGGCTTGTGGATATTTGATCGAAGTTATTAGCCGTTACAATAAAAATTCAAATGAAGGTGCTCGTATGGTAGAATACTTACTCGACAATGACATAACTGTGTTCCTGTGTGAAGCTACCTCAAACCTAGATTTTACGCTGTTTAGGTACCTAGTATGAATTTTCCTTATGTAATTTGAGATTTTACAATGTAGTACAACACAACACTCATGTGAAATGTGTGAAAGTAGAAGTAAGTACTTGCACAAACATGACGAATTAATTAAATGTAATTAGTGATTACTTACCATAAGAACATAATAATATCAACGGAGTAGGTAGGTACCTACTTTATTATTTACCTCAATACCTTACCAACATATTTGCTTTACATTTAACTATTTATTTGATCAAATGGTAAAAGTGCCTGCGCGACATCATTGTACATGCTCATACTGTCAGCTCGTGTTTATGACCTGTAGTGTGGCTTGAAACTAGTCAAGCATAGGTACTTGATAAATTTACCCTAGTAAGCCAACATCTTACATCCTCAGATCAATTCTATCATGTCTCCGGCTTCTATGGCGTTCTCATCAGTTCTTCGCGGACGAGCACGCTGCTCACGCGATGACAGCCGTGTTGCGTGCGTTAGCGCACTATGCAGGGAGTGGTTCTAAGCCTCCTGTGGACGCCTGCCTGCACTTCTTGTGTGATTTATTGAATGGGTAAGAACTTAAAGCCAGAAGAAAGAAAGAAATTAAAAGCCAAGTACATACTTCTAGCACATTTTTAATTCTTTGCTACAGGGTGTGAACAAGACCACTCCGCCTCTTTCACACCAAAGCGCTTATAGCGCTGTACAACTTTTAGCTTGTCTAAACGCTCTGGCTACTCACATCAGTACAAACCCAAACACCATTTTATCAAGCGCCTTAGTGCTTCACGCGCTGATTTCCTACCAACCGGAAAACTTGACTATAAACACGAATACAGCATCAGCTTTACTGGAAGTATTGAAGAAATGGTTCAGCTTGCTCATGGGAACGTTGAACCATTCCATGCTGGTGGGAGACAATGGAGTTTCTGGAATGTTCTACGTCGTCATTTGTCAAATTGGTCTGGATGTTTTTGGGTATTTATAATTATAACTATCCTATAACACTGAATTTCTTCTAAGCATTGGAGGTATAGGTATAGGGTATATATAGGTATATCTTATTAATATTGGGAGATTTATTTGGTACTAGAAATTAAAACAATGATGAACTTACATCTTTAATACAATGGACGCCCATTATTAACACAATTTAACCAAAGACTGTTCCACTAACTGACTTAAATATGACCGTAATAATTTTCTAGACTAATAAAACTGGTCGGTCGGGATCAGAAAGCGGACTTTGTGCAGACGATACTGAGCGATGATCATGAGATAAATGCTTTGAGGCAGTGTGCCGGGCATATGGGGGAAGCTGTTAGGCTTGTAGTAGCTGAACTAATTACATTTACAAAGGTAAGTGACTTTAATAATAATGCGAATATTGCACTAAGTACTATATTCCTATATCCTAAAGATTTGTTAAGAGAACGTAAATCGAGAATGATTTGAGTAACTCGTTCGAAACCAAATTAAATTTCTAAATAAACTCCTAAGGGGCCATTCAAGTATTACGTAAGCACCATGGTGGGCTGGGGGTAAGATCTTTTCTTCCTTTTGCTGACAAGGAGGATGGGGGGGTAAATCATTGTAAAAAATTTGCTTACGTAATATTTGAACGGCCGCTAATCAGACAGTAGTGCTTGTCCATCCTCCATAACCAACAACAGAATAAAATACAGTTCGAGAAGTACAACCAGTTGAGAGGCATGGCTTGGTTTTCCATATATTCTTTTGACCAGAAATGGTCGATGTACTAAAACAACAGTAACAGTTATAAAACGATCACTATTGAACTTATGTTCTGCATTCGTATTAGTTAAAACGCGTCGAGCTACTGGCTAACCATAGTCCTCATATTCCAGGAACATCAAAATCAGATCTCTACAGAAGAATACAACGTATTCCTTAAGTTATTGTTGATATTTTTCTACGATAATAGAAACAATGAGTATTTAACAGATTTCTGTGACTTGCTATTTTCTAAAGGATATTTAATGATGCTGCCACAGGTGCAAATAAATAGGTGAGTTTAACAATTAATCTAATAATAGGCAGAGCCGTATTATTCCTAAGGCGTCACGGACGCGCATGTCCAACTGCCCATAAAGTAGCACCTATGCGGTGCATGCTTAAGACGCTTTCTAAGCTTCGCCCGCCTGTCCTTCTCAAAATCCTCTAATAGGAGTGTCTAGAGTGAGTGGAGTCTAAAATGTAGGACCATATCAATCGGTCTTAGAATGAAATTGGTTCGTAATATCATTTTAATGAAAATCTTATTGTGAACAGCCAAAAAAATTTTGGTCCTAATATAGGTCCCTGGGTAAACTTTACTTCTTTAGAAAATCAGTATAAAGTTTTGTTCATCAGACTTACAAATTATTTTAGATATGTCTAAAAAAGGACCTAAAATAATAAATTCCTTTCAGAAACGACGTGTCTGTACGCAAAGTAAGCACACTAGTGCTTGGAGAAATGCTAAAGGTTCTTGCTGAAAAATATCTAAACGTGAACGATGTACAGAATAGTGACACTTGTGCTAAAGACATTCACGTGAGTAAAGTTTAATTACTCAGTAGTAGGTACATACATTATTTAATTACAATTTAAATCAAATAATCAGGGCTTCTGTAAAATTATATAAAATTGCTATAATCTGGAACTTGTCGATTATCATGTAGGTATAATAATTACCTAGATTCGTGGAACATGAACTGCGCATTTATCTAACATATTTTTAAGATTTGTTGTATTAATGGACAACCCCTTAAGTATAAAAATGATCAGCTTTCAGCATCAAATAATCATCTTTAAAAGTATTACTATTTTATTTGCAGATGGGCTTAGTAGAGCTACAATATGGAATAGAGAAACCTCATCGCATCGGTTCGCAACTGCAGAAAAATCAACCTTACAGCTTACTAATTTATATTTACTTCTACTGCCAGTCTTCGGACAAGTATTGAAATATTATGAATAAACATAATCGGAGTTCTAGTTTTAACGATTTTTAGTAAATTTTTCACTTTTTAGCCCAGAAGAAGCAACAGCGCCACTTTTGCCTTATCTAGTTGAGCATATTTTGAAACTGCCCAAATCGTTTAAGCCGCCTGCTTATATTATTAAAGCACTGTGGCTTGTATTTGCTGTGAGTATTGTCTTATAAACCCCAGTTATATTCTCCCAACTAAATTTCCCATTTGCCGTAATTATACGGCACTATTACAGAAAGTCAAACACTTAATATTAAAAAGGTGCAATTGTTTCCTAAACATTAAATTCGTCGGCAGATGTCCACTATATCGAATGGCTCACTGGAATCTCTAGGCGAGCGAGTGTACCTGGAGAAGGCAACTGATCGTTTAATATCAATGTTATACCCAGACCCATCGATTTACTACACACATAACCCTGCGTTATTGCTTTGGGCTTTCACTTCGCAAAGGATTTCTCATTGTGTTAGGTTACATGTGGTAAGTTTGAAATAGATACTAATACAAATAAGTTAGAAAGATTTTATTTCCCCATAGAAAAAAAAATTTTACAGGAGACATTAATAGCTAAATTAACTTTTCTCAATTCAAAATCTATGGATTACAATCAATTTTAGATAAAAACTACATACAAATAATTGTAAAAATGGAGCGTAATCCCAGAATTCGGAGATAAGTTAATTTCGGTCATTAAAATATCCAACTCTAAGGTTGGACAAATGAAAAAGAAATAATAGAACAGTTGTTACCGATTTTATCAACATCAAAAGTAATATTTTGACAGCCTCAAAATATATACCTAATTGTCATAGTTTCTAAACAAAGCATTTCATTTCCAGCTGTCCCAATGGTTTAAATCCGAGGACTCATTGCCAGCAGACCTTACAACCCAGCCAATAGTTTGGGAACTTCTCTTGAACATTCTGATACAATGCAATGACAAAACAATAGTGGGCAACTGCATGGAAGCTCTCCACGTGTGCCTCGAAGACGGTGACGACGACTGTAGGCAGGACTTCGCTGGACTGATTTGGTCTATGCTCCCTAATGTCTTGTCGAAAGTTTTGATAGACACTGAATATCAAATAGGTTTTTAATCATGTCTTGCTTTAGTGGTATCAAGTTCATCATTTCCTTAGATTTACTCTATCTCATTATATCTACTGATTATAATAATGTTACTGTAGATCCACATCAACCACTCTCAGTTCTTCAGAGACAATGCTTCTTTATTAATCTCATCTTCTTTAGTTGCCTACGTCATTTTCAATCTCATCACATCAATATGTTACGTTACAGAAACCTAAATCTTAATTTCCTATAGTAAAGAACTTTATTATGAAATCTTCTCGTCTTTCAGACACAAACATTTGCCACTTTCTCGACCTAGCAACAACTCTACCGCCCCTAGAGATAGACCAG